AAACACTCTCTCTCTCAGGCTTGGGAGTGACCAACTGATAAGGGGTGAGCAGAGCCAGGCTTGAGCAAGGCCAGGCTACCAATTTAGGGCCAGTTAGACACTTCACGGGATTTATTGTGTAAGAGTGAAACCACAGAGGACAAGTCAGCCTTCGGGTTGCAACAGCAAGTTTATTTAGTACATAGGTACCTGTGGGCACAAAGTCTCCTCGGGGGACTTGCGTGCCTACAGGCTGGGGTTTGGCACTTTTATAGAGCAGAAGCGGGATACAGAAGCAGAAACGCGGTTATTGGTTAATTTAAACTATTACAAAATGCTATGGGGAGAGCAGGAAGCTTACTTATCAGTAAGCCAGATGTCTCAACCATAAAACTTACTTATCAGTGAGTTGGAGATGTCTCGGCCATGAAACTTACTTATCAGTAAGCCAGATGTCTCGGCCATAAAACTTACTTATCGGCAAGTTGGAATTCTTGACCGGTACGTGACCTGCCTGAGAGACTTCATGGCGCCTGACTTTTATTTTTTTTCAGTACCAGTCAGAACCACACAGGGAAGCTTCAGGGTCAGTCTGGAGATGAAAGGACAGGGAGGAAAATATAGGCAAGAGCTTTTGTCTTCTATGAGAAGGAATCTGAAGCTAGATAAGCAGGTAAATCCTGGCTAGTTTGAGTAATTCCAGCAGGTTACAGGGCTGTCTCTGTAACTGGTCTAGTAACAGGCCCTGGGATGATCTGTAAGAATAAACATCTTCCTCTATGTTGTCTTTCTGGTCTAGTAACTGGCCCTGAGCTAAACAGTGATCTAAAGTGTAAGAGCTGAGTAGAGGAGGTGGTTACAGGTGTGGCTCTGGATTAGCTGGTTTACATATGAATGCTGAGTTCTTAGGTGAGCCCTTTACTATCCCTAAACATTAGCCAACCCTGAGACGTTCCTTCTGGGTTAGCAAGACACCACATGTTGTCACAAACAGCTGGCTGAGGGTCCCTTTGCTCTACTTGGATGGAAATATCAACTAGCTAGAGGAACAGGTCTCTTAGCGTTAGCAGCTCAGAGCGCTTATGTGCCAGGGGCTTTTAGTAAACAAGCTTGGACTATAAACACAGAAGCATACAACTGTAGACTCTCTGAACTAGAGGTTTTCAAAGCCCAAGGTGGTCAAGACAGAAGCTTATTGCTGGAGCTGGAGAGATACCTCAGTGGTTAAGAGAATGTACTGCTCTTGCAGAGGACCCGGGTTTTGTTCCCCGTACCCACATTGGACAGCTCACAACTGCTTGTAACTCTAGCTCCAGGGGTATCTGGTCTCTGAGGGTACCTACACTCACATGCACATACCCACATACATATTCACAGACATATAATTAAAAATAATAAGAATAAACCTTATGAGAAAGAAACTTATTGCTTGGATTGGAGAGCCAGTGGCCAGCATTCAACATCTAGTGTTATAACAACTGTGCTTTGGGTGTCGTGTCCCCTCAAGCCCTTGACTCTTGGCGACTCCCTGGAACTTTTCTTGCCTGTGTTTACAGCAGTCTGGGCTTTTCACCTTTGTGAGTCACTGTCCTGTGCTGTGTCACCTCAGTACCTGTGGAGTCTGTTTTCTTAGCTCCTCAGTTTTTGCTTCTGGGCTGCTCTCTGAAACTGTTGACTGTCTTCTTAAGGATGCTGGATGGATCTGGGGCTAAAAGTCTCAGGAGCTTTTGTGCCCTTTGTGGAACTAACTTAGCCCACTTTACTTGTGGTAAAGACCACAAAGTAAGCAATAAAATACCATCTAGGGGTCTGGAGATCTGGCTTAGCCATAAAAGTGCTTGCTTAGTGTGATGATTAGGTTTAATTTTTAAGTTGACACAATGTAGAATCACTTGGAAGGAGAGTCTCAATGAGAGATTGTCTACATTGCCTTGACCTGTGGGAATGTATATGGGGATTGTCTTGATTACCTTCATTCATGTGGGAAGACCCACTCTAAATGTGGGCAACACCTTTTGCTAGTGGCCCAGATAAAAGGACATGGAAGAGGGGCAGGAGAGATGGCTCAGTGGTTAAGAACACTGGTTGTTCTTACAGAAGACCTAGGTTTGAATCCCAGCACCCACATGGCAGCTAACTATTGCCTGTAACTCCAGTCCCAGGGGATCTGACAGCCTCTTCTGACCTCCGTGGGCATTGCACGACATGGGCGCACTTACCTACATGCAGGCAATACACACATACACATAAAATAAAAATAATAAAATTTAAAAAATTTTTTGTTTTTTAAAAATAAAGACATGGAAGGAAAAAAGCTTCCTTTTTCTGTTGGCTCAGCCTTCATCCTCCATGATGAGTTCATCTACCCTGTTGCTGCTGCTAATTTTTCCACTGACATTAGAGCCAGCTTCATGGATTGAAGACGAGTGGCGCTTCAGGAATCTTCCAAATTTTTGCACCAAGTTGGGACTGCTGAGGCATCTTGCCTCATTGACTGAGCAACTACTGGGTTCTTGGCCTCTGGTATGAAACAGCCATTATTGGACTAATCTGACCACATTGTATAAGTCAGTCTAAATAAATCCTTTAAAAATATATTTATTCTGTTGGTTCTGTTCCTCTAGAGAACTCTGGCTAACGCACCTAGCAAAACTGATGATTTGAATTCAATCCCTGGGACTCATATAAAAAGCCAGACATAGTGGCACGTTCACAGCACAGAGAGACCCTGTCTCAAAAGATGGAGGGTGAGAACTGACTCCTGAAGGTTGTCTTCTGATCTCTGCCTGTACCCCCAATAAATAAGTAAAAGAAAAAAGAGCTCATTTAGGAGAAGCTAATAAATACCCAGGGGGTGGTACACAGGTGGGCAGTCTCCTAGACCAACTAGAAGAGACTGAAGAAAGGCCACTTATACAGCTAAAAAAGGGGTGTTCCATGATTGTGCACAGCATCTAATTTGACTATCACAGCCTCTCATTTGCATGACTTCCTGTCCTGACAGTCCCAAGCCCTGAATGTGCACAAAGTCATGAATCTTCCACATGCATCCATCCATCACAAGCCTCATGTGTGGGTAGTCACCTTGCTGTCAATCACAGCTTTAAAGTTGTTGAGTTATCAGGGGAAGTACCTTTCCCCAACTAGAGAGGACAGTTGCCACATGATCATCTGGGATGATCTGCAGGTCATGGAAATTTGTCTTGGGTGAAGCAAAGTTTCCTACAGCAGGTACAAGCTGACTGGAGTGGTTATGACTGGAGCAAAGCCTCTAGAAGCACAGTTGTGGCTTCAGTGGCAACAGCTATGGTTTCAGTGGTGTTCATGGCTGGAGCAGGATTTCCTTGGGGGGGGTGTTTTGTGTGTGTGTAGAATGTTCAAAACAGCTGCACTCCCATGATGACAATCTGGTTGATTGCTAAAGAAGGGGTTGCTTGATTACTATCTCTATTCAAGGTGGGCAGGCACAGGGAGGGATCTGACAGTTGTCAAGTGGCTGAACTACACATCCATGTCAGCTCAGCCACGACAGCTTCCATCATTTAAAAGGGAAATCTTGAAAAGGTGTTTACAACAACAGTCTATTGTCTACAATTAACATTGTCTACAGTACTTACCAGTGCTCAGTCCCTAGCTACTCATGAGGGGAGATGAGATCCTCTTGAATATCTCAATATTAAACTCTCAGAAATACAGGGTTAAAAAAGGGCATGATTTGGTGCTGGACAGATGGCTCAGTGGTTAAGAGCACTAGTTGCTCTTGCAGAAGACCCAAGTTTGGTTCCAAGTACCCACATGGTGGCCAAAAACTGGCTATAACTCCAGTTCCAGGGGATCTGACACCCTCTTCTGGCCTTTGTGGGCATTGCACACATGGGTGCACTTACATGCAGGCAAAACACTCATACACATACAAAAATAATAAATAAATAAAAGAAAGAAACGAAATTGTACAGAAGTCACTGCGATCCTGCTACCACACTCCTGTGGCCTCCCAACTACAGATTGTTTTCCCAGCAGGTGCTATTTCACATAGGCAGAATCCAGCTTTTATAGACATGTGCTCTTCCTTCCACCACTCAACTGCTTGTTTTTACTTATTTATTTAAAAATTTTATTTTTTCATTTCATGTTTGAGTGTTTTGCCTGCATATATGTAAGTGCACCTGTGCATGCAATGCCTGTGGAAGATGATGGCTAGCTATCATATGGGTTTTGGGAACTGAACCTGAGTCCTCTGCGAGAGCAGCCTCTTAACCACAGAGCCACTTCTCCAACCCCTCAAATGCCTATTTTGTCATTATTTCATCTTCCATAACTAAACCTATGAACCTGGCAAGGTGGTCAGCCCATTAGCTCACCACGATTGATCGGCTCTTATCAGAACACCTAGGTCTGCATTTGCTTTGAATCTATATTTTTGGGTAAATGGACATTTTTTTCTTGTAAAACTTTCAAGTAATGTGTATGTTACCATTTGACTAATACTTACTGGTTACCTGCTGTATGCCCTGCTCTAAGTGTTGCATTTACAGCATTTAACACCAGGAAATCATTAAAAAAAAAAATCCATGTCCTCATAGAACCTATATTTTTGTGGAGAAAGACAGACTAAGTAAATAAATGACTTACTTAAGTACTTAAATAAAGTACTTCATGAGAAAACATGGCATATAAGTAAGAGAATGGTGTAGAGAAAGGAAGGTGATTGGAAGGCCTACTGAGAAGGTAGGCTCTGAAAGAGCTGATGAGCAAGGCAAGTGGCTTTCTGTGGGTGAAGGCATCGCAGGCTGAGAGAACAGCTGGGGCACGGCTGTAGGAGTGTGCCTGGCATGTTTGAGTAAGAGCAGGGACATATTCAAGTGAAGTGTTCGAGGCAAGATGTGGCCAGGGATATGTGTGGGGTGTGGGTAGATGTGCACTGGAATTTGACGAGGACTTTGGCTGTTGCTCTGAAAGAGATGAAGAAACCATTGAAGGGTTCCTTCTGTGAAGAGGAATGACATCAGCTCACACTTCAGGAAGGCATAGTCTGGTATCCCTCTGCTCAGATGTGGGAGGAAACTGGGTGAGTTTTGGAAGCAGCGGTTTAGGTAGGGGAGAAAGGAGAAAGTTGGGAGGCTTGAAATTATCCAGGTATAAGATGGATGAAGTTGTAAGAGGTGATCTGTGATGGATTTGTTCTGAAGATAGAACCAAGTGCAAAAACACTTTTGCTAGGGAATCAATGTAGGATATGAAAAAGAGAAGTTGGGGTGATTTCAACTTATGTTTGAGCAAATGGAAAGATAAGAGCTGTTATTGCCTGAGGTGGGGAAAGCAGGGAGGAGCAGGCTCTCTGGGAAAAAACAAAACATGAACTTGAATTTGAATATTTTGAAATATAAATTCGCAATCTAAGTGAAGACTTTGAAAAGGAAGGGATATTTGAGTCTGAAGATCTGGGGGGAGCTCTAGACGGGAGTCATACATTTGAAGTTGAGAACAGATAGAGGTAATGAATATGGAGAGAGGAGGTAAGGGGTCCAAGGACTGAGGCCTGTTGTCAAGGGGTGGAGAGCCTGGAAGGAGCTGTCAGAGAACAGACGAAAGCTGGACCTGGTACGTCAGGCCAGTAAAAGCAGCTATTCAGGAGGCTGAGTGAGGTAGGAGGATTGCAAGTCCAAGACTTGCTTGGGCAACTTGGTGAGACTATCTCAAAATAATTGGTAAGGGGCTGGAGAGGCTCAGTGGTTAACAGCACATACTGCTCTTCCAGAGGACCCACGTTTGGTTCCCAGCATCCATGTCAGGCAGCTCACAACTGCCTGTAACTCTAGCTCCAGAGGATCTGATGTCCTCTTCTGGCTTCTGTGGGCACTGTACTCACATGCACAAACTCACACACATACATATAATTAAAAGTGAAAAAGTAAAAATCTTCAAAATAGTAGGCTTAAAAAAGGGCCAAGGATATGCTAAGTAGTCCCCTATCACTGAGTTATACCCTTATCTCCACTTTGGATTTTCCTATGGCGATGCTGGCAGGGCCAGTTTATACATCAGGCATCATTAGGCATAGAGCCTAAAATGCTTTATTTTAGTTATGTTATTTATTGTTTTGAAATAAGGTCTTACTCTGTAGCTCTGGCTGGCCTGGTACTCTATATATAGCCTAGGCTGCCCTTGAGTTCATAGTAATCTTCCTGCCTCAGCCTCCTGAGTGCTAAGATTGTAAGCACGTGCCATCACATCCAGTTTCACAAATATTTTAATTTCTTTTAATATCAGAATTTTGAAAATATAATACCATATTTATGTGCAATATAAAACAATAAGTATATAATAACAAACCCATTTATCACTGTACCAAGCTAGTTATAAAGTACAATTTTTCTTTTTCTCATTTTATTTTTTTGAAACAGGGTCTCCCTGTAGTTCCAGTTCACCTGGAACTTGCTATGTGGACCAGGCTGGCTGCAGTCTCATATGGGTTCACCTGCCTCCGCCTCCTGAGTGCTAGGATTAAACACATGTGCTACCATGCCCAGCTAAGAATAATTTTTTTTCTAAAAATTCTCTTTTTTTTGTCAGGTGTCGTGGCACATGCTTATAATCCTAGCACTTGGGAGGTAGAGGCAGGAAGATTTTGTAAGTTCAAGGACAGCCTGGTCTACATAACAAGTCTCCAGGCCAGCCAGGGCTATATAGTAAGACCCTGTCTTAATTTTTTTTTTAAGTTGGCTTATCATTGAAGTCAGAAGTAATGGGTGTTAGTAAGTTGTCAGAGGAGATGAAGGCAGTTTTGCTGAACATGGTATGTATTTCTGAGATAAAAGATGTCTGTAGAGAGGGCAAAAGTTTCATGAGTTCTTAGATAACTCCAGGTGGCAAAAGGTGTTCAGAGGAATAAAAGCTCATTTTGGGCCAGGCCCTCCTTCCTTCTCCCCCAACATTTAGCCACTGGACCCTATGAAGCCTCAGTGAATTGCTACCAAGGTCTCTCTCTGCCATAGATTTCGATAATTTTCTAGAAACAGAAATATTAGCCTTCACTTGACCCGGGAATGCATCTTCTGACCCTGAAATCCTCAGAAGGGGGGGGAGGAGGCACCAGGAGCTGCAGACTCAGTCAGTCATTCCCTGCTAAGTTCTAGCACACACTCCCAAATCTATTCTACATCAATGCCAGTTTTAAAGAAGACATAGGTTGTTATGCCTTTAGTCCATAGAAGCTGTTATGTAAGGCTCAATTTATCTTCTTTTTTCTTTATCTTTTTATATTTTCTTTATTATTTTTATTTTATGAGTGTATTGACTGCATGTATGTAAGTGCACCTGTGTCATGCAATGCCCACAGAGGTCAGAAGAGGACATTGGATCCCCTGGAACTAGAGTTAAGAATGGTTGTTAGCCTCTGGGTGGGCACTGGGAACCAAATCCAGGTCCTCAGCAAGAACAACCAGTGCTCGTAAGCACTGAGCCAGCTCTCCAGCCCTTTCTTTTTCTTTTTGAGACAGGGTTTCATTATGTATCTCTGGCTGGCCTGGAACTCACTATGTAGACCAGGCTGGTTTTGAAC